GGGATACCGCTTGGGAATCTCTGGCCCAGAGAAATCGTACACGCGCGCCGAGTAAAATATATTCCTTTGAATAATAATTTCACTCCGTGGGAGAAACGACGTTTTTCACCAGGTTGCTGCTGGTGGATTTTCAACCGCGCCCGCCGTCGTAAACTTTTACCTGTCGATGCGATGGCAAACGCCGGATATTCTTGAAACTTTCGGCCAGCTTTTTCACGAGGCACTACCGCAGATTATTAAGAGGGTATCGTGGGTAGAGCGAAGAGCATAACTCAATCGATAACGATGAGAAATCGCCGGACCGCTTTAAACTGTTGTAACTTCTTCGAAGAAAAATTACGCGGTGATCCATTTCGTCTCGTTTTAAAGCGCGATGACTCTACCTTGGCAGTCTTGATTTTTTTTTTTTTTCTTTTTTAATTAAGATCATGTTACTGATGGCAATTACTGACACTTTTGTTCTCTAACAACGTTGGAAAATATTTCTCGTCACGACAAAGTCTTGACGACGGTCCTGAATATTAAACTTTCCCCTAAAACTTGCTGTGTGATTTCTTTCTTTCTTTTTCACAATTTTATTGAACTCTAGGTATTGAACTTCTTCAATTTTCGTCGTTCAAGCTTGGCGTTCAAAGTCAAATGAAATGACAAGAAAAGAAAGAGAATCATAGCAAGAGTCGTTGAAAAGAGAAAACTTCGATCTACAAGACCGTGGTAGATCTGGTCTTGCGAAAAAAATCCTTCTGCAAATGCTCTGTTGTTTCCTTGCAAGGATAAAGTTTGACCAATAAATTTTTTGAAAATTACTTCTTTATAACTGAAGTATATCCTTACGTACATATTACATCAAAAACTAATCAACGCTTTATTAACAATTTATTAATCGGCCGGCAACATTGCCACGAGGAGACGTTTCGAAAATTTCGAAATTTTCGTCTCTCCCCAGCAATCCGACGTTATTACTTCTTCACGAAGAATTCCTCCGCAGGCGAAATCATGGTTCGTCTCGCAGCGAGATCCCAGGTTCATTCATTTGTGTCTCGATCCACGTTAACATTAATGCTGATGACTCGCAGGCAACCACCGGCGTCTGTATCCATGTGGCTAGCCACCTAATACGATTGTCAAGTTGCCACACTCTCTCTCTCTCTCTCTCTCTTTCTCTCTCTCGCTCTGTCTTTCTCTCTTGGGAAATACTGGCCGGCTTTACCTGCATCGCACATTCCCTGCTGCCGCGATCCTTTCGTCGGGAAGTGTGTCTACATTGCTCAATCCTCGCAGAATCCAGAGAACTTTTGTCCTCGCCCGCGATTTCCCCTGCAACCGTGAATCCTTTCTGTCCCGCGCGAAGACGAACCAAGTCCAACCAAAATCACTTTGTTGATCCCCGCTGGATTGATCGATTATCGTTGGCCGGCCGTTTGTCTGCCTTCAATTTTTCATCGACTCGCGTGTGACAAATCGCATTTGTCATCCTTTGGTGGAAGAGTGATTCTAAAACTCGATACGTCGCGTCGCTAATTCCACATCGAAATTGTCTGTCTGCCACATGCTCTTGCAAGTTTTATCTATTTATTTTTAACGCGTGAAGTTTCTTTTTTTTTTTTTTTTTTTACCACGTGAACGAGAATTCGCTAAGTAATACGAAATTTAATTCTTAATTAAAAATTCCTATAAATTCTACGTTGCTCGGTTTTAGAATTTTTAATTTTCATTCAATTTTATTAGTAACCTCTGTAATCACGTAAATATCGCGAGAAATACAGTACCAACGTTTTTATAGTCACTGCAATTTTTGCATCGAATCATATTTTTATCTACTCGATGATTATTTTTTTACTTTATCAATGACGCAAGGGAAATAATCTTTTTCTTAAAAAAAAAAGTGGGAAAATCAATTTCTATCATTATTCTATTGGTATATACGATTCATTATAATATAATAGTTGCTATGATTTCCCTCCGGTAACTTGATAAAGAAATTTCTCATACGATACGATGCAGAAAATTGCAATGTTACGGGCATTACATTGCCGAATGGATGATTTCGAAACAACCGTGTAGGAGTTTGGAACAAGTGGTCAGTTCTTACTTAGTGGTTGTCGGCCACTAACAGCAACTGTGCGAGCAATTCAGCTTTCATCAATCAGCTTTTAGTTAATCTTCGGTCAGGATCAGCAACTTCTGAAGCAATCAGACTTCAAAGCACTCTTCAGCCAATAAGTTAGAAAGCTGTCAGGTATGACTTACGAAGACAGAGTCGAAATAATGATTAATTTATGACGGAAGTATTAAGAATTGCACTGATCCTTCCAAGGGTGTGCTCTCTATATTGTTATTTATAACAACATTATAGAATTAATTACTATTTAATACATTAATTTAATAAGTTTAATAGTTAATATATTAAATATATTAAACGTGTTATATTAAATATATTAAATATGTTATATTAATAGTTAATATATTAAACTTATCATAG